TAACTTTATTGACAAGTTATTTACAAGTTAAGGATCCCTACCTTTATTGACAAGTTATTTACAAGTTAAGGATCCCTACCTTTATTGACAAGTTATTTACAAGTTAAGGATCCCTACCTTTATTGACAAGTTATTTACAAGTTAAGGATCCCTACCTTTATTTACAAGTTAAGGATCCCTAACTTTATTGACAAGTTATTTACAAGTTAAGGATCCCTACCTTTATTGACAAGTTATTTACAAGTTAAGGATCCCTAACTTTATTGACAAGTTATTTACAAGTTAAGGATCCCTAACTTTATTGACAAGTTATTTACAAGTTAAGGATCCCTAACTTTATTGACAAGTTATTTACAAGTTAAGGATCCCTACCTTTATTGACAAGTTATTTACAAGTTAAGGATCCCTACCTTTATTGACAAGTTATTTACAAGTTAAGGATCCCTACCTTTATTGACAAGTTTATTTACAAGTTAAGGATCCCTACCTTTATTGACAAGTTATTTACAAGTTAAGGATCCCTACCTTTATTTACAAGTTAAGAATCCCTAACTTATTGACAAGTTATTTACAAGTTAAGGATCCCTACCTTTATTGACAAGTTATTTACAAGTTAAGGATCCCTACCTTTATTGACAAGTTATTTACAAGTTAAGGATCCCTACCTTTATTGACAAGTTATTTACAAGTTAAGGATCCCTACCTTTATTGACAAGTTATTTACAAGTTAAGGATCCCTACCTTTATTGACAAGTTATTTACAAGTTAAGGATCCCTACCTTTATTGACAAGTTATTTACAAGTTAAGGATCCCTACCTTTATTGACAAGTTATTTACAAGTTAAGGATCCCTACCTTTATTGACAAGTTATTTACAAGTTAAGTATCCCTACCTTTATTGACAAGTTATTTACAAGTTAAGGATCCCTACCTTTATTGACAAGTTATTTACAAGTTAAGGATCCCTACCTTTATTGACAAGTTATTTACAAGTTAAGGATCCCTACCTTTATTGACAAGTTATTTACAAGTTAAGGATCCCTACCTTTATTGACAAGTTATTTACAAGTTAAGTATCCCTACCTTTATTGACAAGTTATTTACAAGTTAAGGATCCCTACCTTTATTGACAAGTTATTTACAAGTTAAGGATCCCTACCTTTATTGACAAGTTATTTACAAGTTAAGGATCCCTAACTTTATTGACAAGTTATTTACAAGTTAAGGATCCCTAACTTTATTGACAAGTTATTTACAAGTTAATTAAGGATCCCTAACTTTATTGACAAGTTATTTACAAGTTAAGGATCCCTAACTTTATTGACAAGTTATTTACAAGTTAAGGATCCCTACCTTTATTGACAAGTTATTTACAAGTTAAGGATCCCTACCTTTATTTACAAGTTATTTACAAGTTAAGGATCCCTAACTTTATTGACAAGTTATTTACAAGTTAAGGATCCCTAACTTTATTGACAAGTTATTTACAAGTTAAGGATCCCTAACTTTATTGACAAGTTATTTACAAGTTAATTAAGGATCCCTAACTTTATTGACAAGTTATTTACAAGTTAAGGATCCCTAACTTTATTGACAAGTTATTTACAAGTTAAGGATCCCTACCTTTATTGACAAGTTATTTACAAGTTAAGGATCCCTACCTTTATTTACAAGTTATTTACAAGTTAAGGATCCCTAACTTTATTGACAAGTTATTTACAAGTTAAGGATTCTTAACTTTATTGACAAGTTCAGAGCTGTTACCTACATCAGCTCATTTTATTGTTATGAGACATATAAGTAGGGAACAGGATGAAATGGAAGCCATCTGTGGGTCAACTGTCAGCCATCTGTGGGTCAACTGTCAGCCATCTGTGGGTCAACTGTCAGCCATCTGTGGGTCAACTGTCAGCCATCTGTGGGTCAACTGTGAGCCATCTGTGGGTCAACTGTGAGCCATCTGTGGTCAACTGTGAGCCATCTGTGGTCAACTGTGAGCCATCTGTGGGTCAACTGTGAGCCATCTTGTGGGTCAACTGGAGCCATCTGTGGGTCAACTGTGAGCCATCTGTGGGTCAAATGTGAGCCATCTGTGGGTCAAATGTGAGCCATCTGTGGGTCAACTGAGAGCCATCTGTGGTCAAATGTGAGCCATCTGTGGGTCAACTGTGAGCCATCTGTGGGTCACTGTGAGCCATCTGTGGGTCAACTGTGAGCCATCTGTGGGTCAAATGTGAGCCATCTGTGGGTCAAATGTAGCCATCTGTGGGTCAACTGTGAGCCATCTGTGGGTCAAATGTGAGCCATCTGTGGGTCAACTGTGAGCCATCTGTGGGTCAACTGTGAGCCATCTGTGGGTCAACTGTGAGCCATCTGTGGGTCAACTGTGAGCCATCTGTGGGTCAACTGTGAGCCATCTGTGGGTCAAATGTGAGCCATCTGTGGGTCAAATGTGAGCCATCTGTGGGTCAACTGTGAGCCATCTGTGGGTCAAATGTGAGCCATCTGTGGGTCAACTGTGAGCCATCTGTGGGTCAACTGTGAGCCATCTGTGGGTCAACTGTGAGCCATCTGTGTGTCAACTGTGAGCCATCTGTGGGTCAAATGTGAGCCATCTGTGGGTCAACTGTGAGCCATCTGTGGGTCAACTGTGAGCCATCTGTGGGTCAACTGTGAGCCATCTGTGGGTCAACTGTGAGCCATCTGTGGGTCAACTGTGAGCCATCTGTGGGTCAACTGTGAGCCATCTGTGTGTCAACTGTGAGCCATCTGTGGGTCAAATGTGAGCCATCTGTGGGTCAACTGTGAGCCATCTGTGGGTCAACTGTGAGCCATCTGTGGGTCAACTGTGAGCCATCTGTGGGTCAACTGTGAGCCATCTGTGGGTCAACTGTGAGCCATCTGTGGGTCAACATTTTCATTTGATCAACAGACCTTATCTCGTTGATATCATAATGTTGTACGAATGTGTTCTCTCTCTCTCTCTCTCTCTCTCTCTCTCTCTCTCTCTCTCTCTCTCTCTCTCTCTCTCTCTCTCTCTCTCTCTCTCTCTCTTCTCTCTCTCTCTCTCTCTCTCTCTCTCTCGTTTGTGCACATAACAGAGTTTCCCTGTCAGGTCCTCCGACCATTCACCCTCAGCAGGTACACCTGTAAGGGTCGTGCCCATAAATCTAAGGGTTGTACCCCCACAAATGTCAGGGTCGTACACAACAAATGTAAGGGTCGTACACAACAAATGTAAGGGTCGTGCACAACAAATGTAAGGGTCGTGCACAACAAATGTCAGGGTCGTACACAACAAATGTAAGGGTCGTGCACAACAAATGTAAGGGTCGTGCACAACAAATGTAAGGGTCGTGCACAACAAATGTAAGGGTCGTGCACAACAAATGTAAGGGTCGTGCACAACAAATGTAAGGGTCGTACACAACAAATGTAAGGGTCGTGCACAACAAATGTAAGGGTCGTGCACAACAAATGTAAGGGTCGTACACAACAAATGTAAGGGTCGTGCACAACAAATGTAAGGGTCGTGCCCATAAATCTAAGGGTTGTACCCCCACAAATGTCAGGGTCGTACACAACAAATGTAAGGGTCGTACACAACAAATGTAAGGGTCGTGCACAACAAATGTAAGGGTCGTGCACAACAAATGTCAGGGTCGTACACAACAAATGTAAGGGTCGTGCACAACAAATGTAAGGGTCGTGCACAACAAATGTAAGGGTCGTGCACAACAAATGTAAGGGTCGTGCACAACAAATGTAAGGGTCGTGCACAACAAATGTAAGGGTCGTACACAACAAATGTAAGGGTCGTGCACAACAAATGTAAGGGTCGTGCACAACAAATGTAAGGGTCGTGCACAACAAATGTAAGGGTCGTGCACAACAAATGTAAGGGTCGTGCACAACAAATGTAAGGGTCGTGCACAACAAATGTAAGGGTCGTACACAACAAATGTAAGGGTCGTGCACAACAAATGTCAGGGTCGTACACAACAAATGTAAGGGTCGTACACAACAAATGTAAGGGTCGTACACAACAAATGTAAGGGTCGTACACAACAAATGTAAGGGTCGTACACAACAAATGTAAGGGTCGTGCACAACAAATGTAAGGGTCGTACACAACAAATGTAAGGGTCGTACACAACAAATGTAAGGGTCGTGCACAACAAATGTCAGGGTCGTACACAACAAATGTAAGGGTCGTACACAACAAATGTAAGGGTCGTACACAACAAATGTAAGGGTCGTGCACAACAAATGTAAGGGTCGTACACAACAAATGTAAGGGTCGTACACAACAAATGTAAGGGTCGTACACAACAAATGTAAGGGTCTTTGTGGCGACACCACAAATCTCAGAATGCTAATGACATTTTGAGGGTGGTATTGATGGAGGGACGCAGGGAGGGAGGAGGGACCCAGGGAGGGAGGAGGGACCCAGGGAGGGAGGAGGGACCCAGGGAGGGAGGAGGGACGCAGGGAGGGAGGAGGGACGCAAGAAGAGACACAGTGACGTATCTGATAATACCATCATTCACGTTACTGTCTCAGCTCTCCTCCTCCTCCTCCTCCTTCTCTTCTTCCTCCTGGTCCATATTCTTGGTCTTCTCCCTCATTCAATCGAGATCAAACTTAATCTTTGTGCAAGGAACGTCTGAGATTTACCTGGTGGTGGTCAGGAGGGAACAACCAGGACTGTTATCAACACTACTTGTGCCTTGTATTGACGGGAGAGAGAGACGTATATCGTATCTTCTCTTGAAGCTGTGTATTAAGCTTGCCTCCACTATCTAAGTCATTCCACTTTTCATCCACTCTAAGACTGAAAGAAATACTTCCTTACATACCTATGGTTGTGTGTGTATGAATGAGTGTGGAGTGAGTGAATGTGTGTATATGTGTGTTTTAAAGTGAAGAGTATGGGTGAGTAAGTGGATGAGTGTAAAAGTGAGTGTGAGAGAGTGAGTTAGAGTAAGAGAGTGAGTGAGAGGTGGTGACACATACAGCCCACCACTGACCAGTATGTATCATGTGTACTCACAGACTGCTGAACGCCAACAGGATCTCCTGTCTACGCAGAGACGCCTTCACAGACCTGCGTAGCCTTAACCTCTTGTGAGTATCCTGCCTGTATCCTCTGTACCAGGAACACCTGTCTTGACACCCCCTGCAACACCTGTCTTGACAACCCTGCAACATCTGTAACACCTGTCTTGACACCTGCCACACCTGTCTTGGCACCCCCTGCAACACCTGTCTTCACATCCCTTGCTACACCTGTTTTGATCCCTACAACACCTGTGTCGATCCCTGCAACACCTGTCTTCATCTCTACAACACCTGTCTTCATCCCTACAACACTTGTGTTGATCCCTGCAACACCTGTGTTGACCTCTCTGCAACAACAATGTTGACTCTCACCTATGTGCCGTTGAGAGCATTCCACTCACAATCACAAGCTCCCGAATTCGATTCCCTGCACAGAGGAACATGTGGACAAGTTTCCTTACACCTACTTGCTGACCCTGTCCACCTAGCAGTACGAATAGATACCTGTGTGTTAGTCGACTGTCATGGGTCGCATCCTCGGCATAAAATGTGTAAGATATTCCAGTACCTGCTGGAATGTTGTATACTGTGTAAGATACTCCAGTACCTGCTGGAATGTTATATACTGTGTAAGATACTCCAGTACCTGCTGGAATGTTATATACTATGTAAGATACTCCAGTACCTGCTGGAATGTTATATACTGTGTAAGATACTCCAGTACCTGCTGGAATGTTATATACTGTGTAAGACACTCCAGTACCTGCTGGAATGTTATATACTGTGTAAGATACTCCAGTACCTGCTGGAATGTTGTATACTGTGTAAGATACTCCAGTACCTGCTGGAATGTTATATACTGTGTAAGATACTCCAGTACCTGCTGGAATACACAAATAACCCGCACATAAAAGAGAGAAGCTTACGACGACGTTTCGGTCCGACTTGGACCATTGACAAAGTCACACTAACCAGAGGGGGAGCAGGACGGCTATATATAGGCAGGAAGAGGTGGTGGTGGTAGTAGTAGTAGTAGTAGTAGTACAGGAATTGTATATAATACCGACAAGATGAAATTAAGACACATGCACAACACCCGGGCATCCCCATCATAGACGCTTCGCCATCCAGCCAGCCACTGGATGGCGAAACGTCCACAACGAAGACAACCAGACGCCGCACATGTGTCTTATGAACATTAAAATGGTATAAAATACCGACAGATTGTTAGGTAAGACACATATGCAACAGTCAGGTATCTTTATTTCGAAATAAAGATACCTGACTGTTGCATATGTGTCTTACCTAACACATGTGTCTTAATTTCATCAGTAGTTGTAGTAGTAGTAGTAGAAGAAGAAGAGGTAGTATTAGTGGTTGTGGTAGAAGTGGAAAATAAGGAAGACGAGCCAGTCAAATACAAAGGAAGGAGAGCACTGCAAGAGAGCTAGATGCCCACAGAGGGAGAGCAAGCGCACCGAGGTGCGTGAAAGGGGAAGTGGTGAAATAAATGAAGAAGGAACAGAAACACGAGACAGGAGAGAGAAAGACAACAGAGGAGAAAAGGAAAGAGGAAAGGGGAAGAGGAAGAAAAAAATGAGGATTCAGGTTAAGTCACGGGTGTTCTGAAGTTTGGAGCATTTTACAATGTAGTGGGAGAGGAAGGCATCTACAGAAGGAAAGTTGTGTATTAGAGAGGATTCAACTAGACGGCGACTGTTCGAGTTGGAAGTAGGGAAGACAGTTTTAGCAGAAGACCAGTCAATAGGATGGCTATGATCTCTGACGTGACAGAAAAGAGCATTGTTAGTGTCGGCAAGCCTAACACTATTTTTGTGCTCCCTAAGTCTGTCAGAGAGAGATCGACCAGCCATCCAGTGGCTGGCTGGATGGCAAAGCGTCTATGATGGGGATGCCCGGGTGTTGTGCATGTGTCTTAATTTCATCTTGTTAGGTAAGACACATATGCAACAGTCAGGTATCTTTATTTCGAAACGTTTCGCCTACACAGTAGGCTTCTTCAGTCGAGTACAGAAAAGTTGATAGAAGCAGAAGATACTTGAAGACGATGTAATCAGTCCATCACCCTTAAAGTTTTGAGGTGGTCAGTCCCTCAGTCTGGAGAAGAGCATTGTTCCGTTGTCTGAAACAATATGAAGTTGAAGTGTTCATTCTGTCAGACACTGCAACACAAGGGTATCTTGGTACAGACCATCAACTTCGACCTCTACTAGTGAGAACGGCTGGGTTTGAGAGGGACCTGCCCTCCCAAATCAACCTCCGTCTCACCTCCTGGCACTATATAAAGGCTCCATCCTGTCACTTCAACTTCATATTGTTTCAGACAACGGAACAATGCTCTTCTCCAGACTGAGGGACTGACCACCTCAAAACTTTAAGGGTGATGGACTGATTACATCGTCTTCAAGTATCTTCTGCTTCTATCAACTTTTCTGTACTCGACTGAAGAAGCCTACTGTGTAGGCGAAACGTTTCGAAATAAAGATACCTGACTGTTGCATATGTGTCTTACCTAACAATCTGTCGGTATTTTATACCATTTTAATGTTCATTAATTTCATCTTGTCGGTTTTATATACAATTCCTGTACTACTACTACTACTACTACTACTACTACTACTACCACCACCTCTTCCTGCCTATATATAGCCGTCCTGCTCCCCCTCTGGTTAGTGTGACTTTGTCAATGGTCCAAGTCGGACCGAAACGTCGTCGTAAGCTTCTCTCTTTTATGTGCGGGTTATTTGTGTATCGTTCCAGTCACGGTATTGTGCCTTTTTGTTATTTATTACCTGCTGGAATGTTATATACTGTGTAAGATACTCCAGTACCTGCTGGAATGTTATATACTGTGTAAGATACTCCAGTACCTGCTGGAATGTTATATACTGTGTAAGATACTCCAGTACCTGCTGGAATGTTATATACTGTGTAAGATACTCCAGTACCTGCTGGAATGTTATATACTGTGTAAGATACTCCAGTACCTGCTGGAATTTGTTATATACTGTGTAAGATACTCCAGTACCTGCTGGATGTTATATACTGTGTAAGATACTCCAGTACTGCTGGAATGTTTTTATACTGTGTAAGATACTCCAGTACCTGCTGGAATTTTATATACTGTGTAAGATACTCCAGTACCGGGCTGGAATGTTATATACTGTGTAAGATTACTCCAGTACCTGCTGGAATGTTATATACTGTGTAAGATACTCCAGTACCTGCTGGAATGTTATATACTGTGTAAGATACTCCAGTACCTGCTGGAATGTTATATACTGTGTAAGATTACTCCAGTACCTGCTGGAATGTTATATACTGTGTAAGATAACTCCAGTACCTGCTGGAATGTTATATACTGTGAAAAGATACTCCAGTACCTGCTGGAATGTTATTATACTGTGTAAGATACTCCAGTACCTGCTGGAATGTTATATACTGTGTAAGATACTCCAGTTACCTGCTGGAATGTTATATACTGTGTAAGATACTCCAGTACCTGCGGGAAATTTGTTATATACTGTGTAAGATACTCCAGTACCTGCTGGAATGTTATATACTGTGTAAGATACTCCAGTACCTGCTGGAATGTTATATACTGTGTAAGATACTCCAGTTACCTGCTGGAATGTTATATATGTGTAAGATACTCCAGTACCTGCTGGAATGTTATATACTGTGTAAGATACTCCAGTACCTGCTGGAATGTTATATACTGTGTAAGATACTCCAGTACCTGCTGGAATGTTTTTATACTGTGTAAGATACTCCAGTACCTGCTGAATGTTATTACTGTGTAAGATACTCCAGTACCTGCTGGAATGTTTTTATACTGTGTAAGATACTCCAGTACCTGCTGGAATGTTATATACTGTGTAAGATACTCCAGTACCTGCTGGAATGTTGTATACTGTGTAAGACACTCCAGTACCTGCTGGAATGTTATATACTGTGTAAGATACTCCAGTACCTGCTGGAATGTTGATATACTGTGTAAGACACTCCAGTACCTGCTGGAATGTTTTTAAACTGTGTAAGATACTCCAGTACCTGCTGGAATGTTATATACTGTGTAAGACACTCCAGTACCTGCTGGAATGTTATATACTGTGTAAGAATCTTCACGTTATACATAATTTCTTTACTGTTTAAAGATAATGTTGTAACCATGGAAGTGTTTCTGCAGGTCACTTTACGACAACAACATTAAGACGATCCAGAATGGCACCTTCCAGACCCTCAGTAGCATCCAGACTCTGTAAGTACCCGGTACCTGTGTTGCTAGTATATATATTGGTAGTACCTGTGTTCCCAGTATCTGTGTTGCTAGTACATGTGTTGTTAGTACCTGTGTTGACAGTACCTGTGTTGCTAGTACCTGTGTTGCTAGTACATATGTTGCTAGTACATGTGTTGCTAGTACATATGTTGCTAGTACATATGTTGCTAGTACATGTGTTGCTAGCACCTGTGACCATTAACACACCGCAACATGTGTTCCTAGCACCTGTGACCATTAACACACCACAACCTGTGTTCCTAGCACCTGTGACCATTAACACACCACAACATGTGTTCCTAGCACCTGTGACCATTAACACACCACAACATGTGTTCCTAGCACCTGTGACCATTAACACACCACAACTTGTGTTTCTAGCACCTGCGACCATTAACACACCACAACATGTGTTCCTAGCACCTGTGACCATTAACACACCACAACCTGTGTTCCTAGCACCTGTGACCATTAACACACCACAACCTGTGTTCCTAGCACCTGTGACCATTAACACACCACAACGTGTTCGTAGCACCTGTGACCATTAACACACCACAACATGTGTTCCTAGCACCTGTGACCATTAACACACCACAACCTGTGTTCCTAGCACTTGTGACCATTAACACACCACGTGTTCGTAGCACCTGTGACCATTAACACACCACAACATGTGTTCCTAGCACCTGTGACCATTAACACACCACAACCTGTGTTCCTAGCACCTGTGACCATTAACACACCACATGTGTTCGTAGAACCTGTGACCATTAACACACACCACAACCTGTGTTTCCTAGCACCTGTGGACCATTAACACACCACAACCTGTGTTCCTAGCACCTGTGACCATTAACACACCACATGTGTTCGTAGCACCTGTGACCATTAACACACCACAACCTGTGTTCCTAGCACCTGTGACCATTAACACACCACAACCTGTGTTCCTAGCACCTGTGACCATTAACACACCAAAACCTGTGTTCCTAGCACCTGTGACCATTAACACACCACAACCTGTGTTCCTAGCACCTGTGACCATTAACACACCACAACCTGTGTTCCTAGCACCTGTGACCACTAACTCCCTGTGAACCACCAGGTTTACAGTAAGAGACGGGGCCAGGAGCTGAAACAACCGCCCCCCCCCCACCTCACGGTGAGTACACACGCAGTAAACACTTGCACTGTAAGTGTAAATTGAGTGTTTAAATATTGTTGTGTTTATGTGTGTGTGGAATGTTACTGCCTCACTGGACACACACCTGGCCTCTCTCTCTCTCTCCCCTCTCTCTTCTCTCTCTTCTCTCTCTCTCTCTCATCTCTCATCTCTCTCTCTTCTCTCTCTCTCTCTCTCTCTCTCTCTCTCTCTGGCTCTTTATTCCATAAATTGGAAATAATTTCCCCTGCCTTGTATCAAGCCTGCCAGATCTTAACGTGCTAATATGGATGTATAGGTAGCAACCAAGGAGGAGGTGTATACTCTAGTACCTCCACCACCTCCACACATGAGGTTAACTCCTACCTGGAAGTCGTTCCGGGGGTCAACGCCCCCGCGGCCCAGTCCCTGACCAGGCCTCACGGTGGATCAGGGCCTGATCAACCAGGCTGTTACTGCTGGCCGCACGTAAACAGAAAGAAATTATCTTATACAATGCGGTTATTTTATGGTAATCAAACTCGTGGCAGAGAAATGACTTTAATCTTTAAAGGAAGGGGGGGGGATCTAATAATCCAGTGGAAGACCTTGGTCAGATGATCAAAAGTACTAGTGGCAGGTCACCATTTAAGTCCCGCGTCAGGAAACACTTGTTCTGTGTCCCGAAGAATCTTACTGAAGCTAAGTATACCTGTGAACCTCCCGCGTTAATATCTGCAGCAGAGGTGAGGCGTCTTACATAGTTATATTGTAACCATCCGTAGGATGTCACCCACAGGTACTTTTGTGGCTCTCTTGACTGGCAGACACCTGTGGCTCATCTTGACTGGTAGACACCTGTGGCTCCTCTTGACTGGTAGACACCTGTGGCTCCTCTCTTGACTGGTAGACAGCTGTGGCTCCTCTCTTGACTGGTAGACAGCTGTGGCTCCTCTCTTGACTGGGAGACAGCTGTGGCTCCTCTCTTGACTGGTAGACAGCTGTGGCTCCTCTCTTGACTGGTAGACAGCTGTGGCTCCTCTCTTGACTGGTAGACAGCTGTGGCTCCTCTCTTGAGTGGGAGACAGCTGTGACTCCTCTCTTGACTGGTAGACAGCTGTGGCTCCTCTCTTGACTGGTAGACAGCTGTGGCTCCTCTCTTGACTGGTAGACAGCTGTGGCTCCTCTCTTGACTGGTAGACAGCTGTGGCTCCTCTCTTGAGTGGTAGACAGCTGTGGCTCCTCTCTTGACTGGTAGAAAGCTGTGGCGCCTCTCTTGAGTGGTAGACAGCTGTGGCTCCTCTCTTGACTGGTAGACAGCTGTGGCTCCTCTCTTGACTGGTAGACAGCTGTGGCTCCTCTCTTGACTGGTAGACAGCTGTGGCTCCTCTCTTGACTGGTAGACAGCTGTGGCTCCTCTCTTGACTGGTAGACCCGCTGTGGCTCCTCTCTTGACTGGTAGACAGCTGTGGCTCCTCTCTTGACTGGTAGACAGCTGTGGCTCCTCTCTTGACTGGTAGACAGCTGTGGCTCCTCTCTTGACTGGTAGACAGCTGTGGCTCCTCTCTTGACTGGTAGACAGCTGTGGCTCCTTGTTTTACCTGACGCTTCTCACATTTAACTATAAAAATTTCTTGTTTGCGATGGTGACAAGGTAGAATTTAGTCGTACCTCGAATTTCTTGTTCTCCTGAGCTTGTTGCTCACCCTTCTTCCAGTCCTTCCTTCCTTCCTTCCTTCCTTCCTTCCTTCCTTCCTTCCTTCCTTCCTTCCTTCCTTCCTTCCACACCTATTATATCTCCTTTTATTGTAATTGTTTTTCACACAGTTGAGAGACTTAGATGTTTTAGCTTTTAAGGTTTTAGTAATAAGATATTACAAGGACCACAGTGGAAAAAAAGTCACTTTGTCTAACTTTCTTGGATTATCCTAGGTATTCTACACATATTCTGCTATGTATACTAATTTATACAACTGTATTTATCTGTACCTGTAGCTGAATACACCTTTATACACCCTCTAGGTCATTCTGTTTTATTCCAGCCTCAGTAAACGTCCAAAGCACCTCAGTAACGTCCCTGTTTACTACTAGGCAAAGAGGAACGTATCCTCAGGTCCGGGAAATGGAATGTCAGATGGGTATGGTTTGTTTGGTGAGCGCAGTGCTGGGCTGTCCTGAAAATGGAAATCGGATTAGCATAGAGAGGCGGGCTGACGAATGTGAGTGGCAGTCATTAAAACAAGATTTGCTGGTGGCAGATTGAACACTGACAAGTACTGGGTATTCCTGTCTGCCACACGCTTATGGTGCTGCTGAGAGTTGTCTTGTGCTACCTGTGTCCTGTGTGTCCTGATACCTGTGTCTGCCACACGCTTATGGTGCTGCTGAGAGTTGTCTTGTGCTACCTGTGTCCTGTGTGTCCTGCTTCCTGTGTCTGCCACACGGTTGTGGTGCTGCTGAGAGTTGTGTTCTGCTACCTGTGTCCTGTGTGTCCTGCTTCCTGTGTCTGCCACACGCTTATGGTGTTGCTGAGAGTTGTCTTGTGCTACCTGTGTCCTGTGTGTCCTGATACCTGTGTCTGCCACACGCTTATGGTGCTGCTGAGAGTTGTCTTGTGCTACCTGTGTCCTGTGTCCTGATACCTGTGTCTGCCACACGGTTGTGGTGCTGCTGAGAGTTGTGTTCTGCTACCTGTGTCCTGTGTGTCCTGCTTCCTGTGTCTGCCACACGCTTATGGTGCTGCTGAGAGTTGTGTTCTGCTACCTGTGTCCTATGTGTCCTGATACCTGTGTTCTGTGTGTCCTGATACCTGTGTTCTGTGTGTCCTGGTACCTGTGTTCTGTGTCCTGCTACCTGTGTCCTGTTTGTCCTGCTACCCGTGTCCTGTTTGTCCTGCTACCTATGTACTGTGTGTCCTGCTACCTGTGTCCTGCTACCTGTGTTCTGTGTGTCCTGGCTGTCTCCTGGGCATCCTGGCTGTCTCCTTTGTGTCCTGGCTGTCTCCTGAGCGTCTTATCTGTCTCCTGTGCGTCCTAGCTGTCTCTGGGCGTCCTGACTGTCTCATGTGCATCCTAGCTGTCTTCTGTGTGTCTTGGCTGTCTCCTGGGTGTCGTACATGTCTCCTGTGCGTCCTAGCTGTCTTCTGGGCGTCTTGGCTGTCTCATGGGCGTCCTAGCTCCCCTCTGGGCGTCCTAGCTCCCCTCTGGGCGTCCTAGCTGTCTGCTGGGCGTCCTAGCTGTCTGCTGGGCATCCTAGCTGTCTCGTGGGCTTCCTAACTGTATTCTGGGCGTTCTGACTCCTGGGCGTCCTAGCTGTCTCCTGGGCGTCCTAATTATCTCCTGGGCGTTCTAGCTGTCTCCTGGGAGTCCTAGCTGTCTCCTGGGCGTCCTAGCTGTCTCCATGGCGTCCTATCTCCTTGGCGTTGTCTCCTGGGCGTTCTAGCTGTCTCCTGGGCGTCCTAGTTGTCTCCTGGGCGCCCTAGCTGTCTTCTGGGCGTCCTAGCTGGTGGACACATATATGGTGTCAACATGGTTGTGTTTCAGTGTTGTTATTGTCATGTGGGAAGCGTTAAATCCGTATCACGCAGCGCCTGGGGGGTAAGAGGTAGTCAGGTTTGATGCGAGGAAATGGAGAATATCTCCATTTCCTTGGAACGAGAGTCCCTGGAGGGCGGAGAAGCGGTGGTATCATCTCAGCTCTCCACCAACAGACTGCCTACTGTTAGGTCTCCACCAACAGAACTGTTTTCTGTTACGTCTCCACCAACAGACTTCCTACTGTTACGTCTCCACCAACAGAACTGTCTTCTGTTACGTCTCCACCAACAGAACTATCT